CATACACACATACACACATATACACACACGCATGCACGCACGCACAATCACACACACACAGACACACACACACACACACATACACACACACACACACACACACACACACACTGACCTGTCCTGTGCAGGGTCCTGTTCAGCCCAGCAGCGTCCACAAAGTCGCCCAGCAGGGACAAACCAAACTCCGGTTTCCTCAACACTTCGTAGATGGTGCCCTCTGGCGCGTCGAGCAAGGTGTCGATGAAGATCAGCACTGGAATGTATGTGTTTAAGTTTGAGCTCGAGACTTAGACTCAGTGGAGAAGCAAAACATATTACAGTTTATTTGTTTGTTTGTTGCTTCTGTTGGCAGTATTCTTGAAATGTGTACTTTCTAGTTTTTGTTTTTGGTGGAAATGCTTATTTGTAGTAGCTAAATTGTTATTGCTTTTGTTTGTTTTATTATTTTTTTGCTGTTGTTTCTTCTGGTGTTGTTGCTGTGTTGTTGTTGTTGTTGTTGTTGTTGTTGTTGTTGTTGTTGTTGTTGTTGTTGTTGTTGTTGCGATGTCGTAGTTGTTATTATTGTTGGGTTTTTTTCTTTGTTCATGCTGTTATAATTGTTGTTATGTTATTGTTGTTGTTTTTTTTGCTGCTGTTGCGCCGTCGTTGTCGTTGTTGTGCTGTAGTTGTCGGGGTCGTTGTTGTTTGTTTTTGTTGTTTGCTGATGTTATTGTTTGTTTTTATTTTTGTTGTTTTGTTGAAACTCCGTTTTCCCGAACATCTTGTCTCTCTTCACCGCCAAGCGACGTAATACTTCGCAGACATGCGACAAGTGGAAATTTGTTTTGCTGTGTGCGTGGCCTTAGGGCATTCAAAGAACTACTCACTCCCCAGACTTAAGCTTTAGAAGTGGGTGGCAAAAACAACAAATAAGGTTTGCTTATATTATCATAATTCTGCAAGTTGGTGTAGGGCAGTTTGTCACGTTGTGTTTTTAAAAATTTTTAATTCCATTACCTGCTCCATTGGCTTCCACGTCCCACTTGAGCACTTTTGCGTCATTCACGTAGGTTCCTTGCTGAGGGAAGAGAGAAACAACATTGTCAATAAATTAATAATAATAATTTTTAAAAACCAATAGTCATCGTTATCAAACGCCAGATCTATTACAGACATCGGCAATCATGATTTTTCTTTTATCCCTTGCTCAATTCAAATGCTCTAAAAAAAAAAGAAGCAGAACTAACATGTTCTTTCTCCATCATATATCTGTTTAGGCTCTCCAGGTAGGTTGCTCTAGGTCTACTCCTGCTTTCCTGCTTTGATTGCCTTCAATTTTGCCTGTGAAAGCTAAATGTTCAAGGCCTTTATGTCTATTCAAAAACAATGCAAAACCCCAAATGAATAGAAACAAACTGATCTTTATGAGTGTAAGTCATTGAGAAGGTAAACATAAGGGCAAAGATGCCACAGAGTAGTCAGAAAGACAGGATATCAAATGTTTAAGTACTCATTTATCCTGAGGTCGAGAATCAAAAGTCCCGAAAACAGCCAATGAATTAATTAGGTAACTATTGGAGACATATTGAGGCATGATGGACTGCAGGAAACAATACTGACAGAAAAAGTTAAAGGACGACCAAGATGGCAATATAAAGATAATAGAAAAGATAGAAGAGGGGGCAGGTCGCTTACTAAAGTATGACAAATTCGCGCGACCAAGTAACACATCTACTCCATCCCTTGGACGACTTCTAACATCACCAGCATCGTCAAAACAACAACATCATCATCAACAACAACAGTAACAATAACAAAGACAACAATAAGAACAATAAAAAACAACAATAACAACAACAAAAACATTAACAACAACACCAATGGCAACGACAACAAACATGAAGTAGTCAAAGCATAAAACTAAGCCAATCCATCCTTGTGTTGAGTAACAAGTGGCATTTCGTCTTTTACAAGTGACTATCTTTAATCCTGTACAATTTAACTAAAAGAATCCTTTTTAAAAAACCTTCTGTTTAGTCGTCCCTTCCTTCGTCATCCAGTACATCTACCACATTTATGACATTCCATCTTCCCACCAGTCTACAAAATAAAACATTAGTTCATACATGCACTTATTATTTACCAAGACAATTTCCCAGTAAAGTTATAATTATCTACAGACATGTACAATCATGTAAAATCATGTACAATCATTTACAATCAATCTATATACCTTACCTGTGTCTTGTAGACACGGATGAAGTGACCATTGTCCGAGACGATGACTCGGCCGGACACAAAGTCCCAGGAGAAGAGCTCTCCCTTGATGACGTGTACGCCGAGTACCTCGTCCAGAAGTCCGGGAGACGTCTGTAGGTTGGTTAGCTCTGCCTGGTCCAGTTTGGCGAAGGCGGAGTCAACGGGAACCAGGATAGTGTAAGGGCCTGGGAATTATAGGAAGAGGGGGAATGGTATATCAGGAGAAGAGCATCTAACTTCAGAATTTTTCGATGTTGTTCTCATAATCCAAATTTAAAAACTCACATCTATCTCCCTCCATCACTCCTCTCCTCTCTTTCTGTCTGTCTGTCTGTCTGTCTGTCTGTTTATCTGTCTATCTGTCTGTCTGTCTCTGTCTCTGTCTCTGTCTCTATCTCTGTCTCTGTCTCTGTCTCTGTCTCTGCCTCTGTCTCTCTCT